TAATCATTACGAAGGGCGTGCACTTGCGCGCCGTTGTGTTTTTAACTAGCCCGGGAAGAAGCACGCTGATTTAAGGAGGAATCTGAGTGAATGGTGCAACGATTTTCTGTTTATATGGGTCGTAACTGAGAAGCAAATGATGGTGTGATCAACCGATTTTTTTTCCACTGGAAATTTGCAATCGATAGGGTGAAAATTCTTGTTCAGCTGGGTTAGTTCGGTTTTTTGTGCAATGTTTAAGGCATTGCAGCGATGTTCAACATTGGTGTGGAGCTGGATGCGGCCAAAGTCCTGTATGCGCTAGCGGAAGAATGCTGTCGAAAGAAATGCTCACTGCAGCAGTTTCGCTCCTTATGTTGCACATTCTGAATTTCACGATCTCTAAATATTCTCATAAAATTTCCGCTTAATTTTTTTGCCTTTGCTGTTGCACTGTTGGTACGCATTCTCAAACAAAACCAGCTTCTGATAGTTTTTTGGACAGACTATTTGTGCAGTGCTATCCAATAAGCGTGTCTTGTTTTTTTCAGCACATGGTAATAATAATAGCAAAAATACCATTAATGAATCAACATATTTGACTAAACTACATTTTAATATTATTAAATTGAAAGACGAATATGCAAACCACCAAGCAAAATTCACTGCATCAAGAGTAAAACTAACAGTATTTACAGTTTAGTAATAAAGATACTAGCCTTCAATTGCATGATGTGTCTCACGAAGACAATGGCTTTCAAAATACGTTTACTTTTTACTCTGTGCCGCAGCGAATTTAATAAATAGATGCTGTTGAAGTGAGTTTTCCGCTGATGCAAAATTTGTTTCAAAAACATGTCATAATTAATAACGGTGCACACTAAAGTAGCCATGGTGATAGTGTATTTTGCGCGGTTCTATTTAGCGAGAGTTTGCTGTTAAAAATTTTTACTGCTACACTATTTATTGTGTAAAAAATAATTGGAATGTTCTCTGGCTCCCAAGCTACGAAATTTTCTGCCAAAATTTCCAAGTACCCACATATGAATTTCACGAGTACCTGAAATCGCACATGGATATAGAAAAACCTCTTAAAACATCAGCTTCTAGTTTTCCTGACTTCTAACTTAGTTAATTTTCTGCCGAAACTTTTGTGTGCGCATGTGTGAAACCGAGGCGCGCATTGAATATAAATTTGAGAAGTCGTAGAAGAGAAAAAAATTTCAGCCTTCTAGCTTTTCTATTTTCCATTTTTCCTTCCGAAACTTCCGCATGTCCGTGCATGAGATGCACAAATGCGTGGAAATAGATATCACATTCCTGGGATCACAGTTGACCGGGGAATACACCTGCAGAGTTTTAACTTCTCAGCTTGCTTGATTATCAAGTCGAAATACCCGCACAGACAAACACACATGCACGCGCATACCACAGGTCGTCATAATACGCGTTTTTAAAAAAAAAAA